ACGACGCTCTTCCGATCTCCCCAAAACCCCAAAACCCCTTATGCAATATAATCATGAATATTTTAAGTATTAAAAAAATAATAAACATATAATTGATAATCAATTGATAGTTAAATTAGCTTGGTCGTAAGCTGATGGGAATCTTGAATCTGCAGTGTGATATGCAGTTGTACTGGTCTCATTATTATGAGAATGGTTGTTGTTTTTGCCCATTATACCACCATAGATTGACTAAGATTATTAGATCTATTACTAATTAAATGACTTATTCTAATCCAAATAAGGTGACTATTATTGGTTATTATAACTGAAACTTTTATTTTTTAGTTTTCTTTTGATTCTTGATTACACCTAAGCTTTCTATAGTTACATGTCCAAGTAGACAGAAGGCTTTATGCTTTGTATTTTTACATGCCTCTGATCATAGATTGATTTAAGTTAGCTCTCAACACTATTTTTTGAAACGTAATGCCCAAAATCTGAAGGTAATTTATAAACTCCAGGACCAGGAGTATGACTTCTTGATTTAAATACATCTCTCTTTGATGTTCCAAATTTAGTCGTTGGCTTTCCCTTGAATATTACAGATTCATAGTGAGACTAATCTTTGCCTTACTCATTAAAATATTAGCCTGGCCCAGGACTCTTCTCAATCCCTATATATTTGAAGGCTAAATTATAGTTTACCTATTCTATTTTTCTCAATAATTTACTTTTTGAAGAATGGACCATTAAAACTCTTATAATTATTTATTGCGTATTAGCCGTCTGGTGCAATTCCGACATTCTCATAAGTTCCTGGGCCTGGATTCTAATCAATTTTGAACACTAAATATATTAATTACTTCTAAACTTACTATTTTAAGATGCCTTTGGCTTAATAGAGAATCTAGGGCCTGCCTTCAATGCATTGAAGGAAGTGACAGGATCATATTATCCAGGTCCTGGCACAAACTCATTATTGATGTAATAATTCCACTTAGTGGGACTCACAACTTTTGCATAGCTTTCTCTAGGAGCATAGAAGAATCCATTACTTTGAGATTTGCTTTGGTTAACACTTTTCTATAAAGATGTCGATTTACTGTTTTGCAGAAGATCAAAGCTTGATCTCAATTGATAAGATGTTGGAGATGGGGTTCTTTCTCCCTATGGTCGAAACGGATCTTTTCTACAATCAATTCCAAACTTAGTCCCTTATTTAGTTATAGTCGATGGAAGATCATAACCGATCACTGGGGTATTTACATGAGTTATTGATCTGAATCTCTAAGATTTGGGAAAAGAATAGAGCTGTTTTGATTTTGATGTATTTACGTTCGAGTTTGATATCTCTTGAAAATTGGAAATCAAAACTGACATTTTACTACTTTTTTAACTAAATAAATTTAATAAATTTGTTTCAACACATTTCTTGTGAATATGCACTCGGGGTTTTGGGGTTTTGGGGTTTTGGGG